GGCACTGGCTCGTACTTTTGTTGGCTGTCCTGCCATGTTGGGACCAGAAACTTTTGCTCACAGAATTGCATTTGGGTAGTGATGGATGCCATCATGGAGATCGGGCATCTGACCGAGGTCTTTTTTTGTCTGCTGTTGAGATGCTATGCTTTGGACCTCATTGGGCATTGCATGAGCACGCAACATTGGCAACTGCACACACAATGGGTGGTTCTGAGCATTTGATACTCGTTCAGGGGTGGGGAATTTGTGGGACTGTTGCTAGTAAGCTTGCACAATCGTTTCATGACCTGGTGCTTTCGAGTTTTCACAATGACATGCAGACATGACCAAGAATGGCAAATGCCTAGTCCCTGGTGAGCCACCACATTTAACAGGCAGTTAGAATGCTCATCTACATGCAGCAGATTCACACGTGTGTTGTGCGACGTTCTGCCTTCAAACGGCCTCAAACGCCCTCAATTCCGCGATTTCGGATTCTCAAGTTCCATTGGCACAGGGTACAGCTACAGGTCTTGTTCCTGGAGAGCCTTCGATGCCCTCCACAGAACCACAGGTCGAGGATGCCGCCAGCGAAGGGGGCATCAGCGCCGTTGCCTTGTCTGTGTGGCGCATGCAGGGCAGAGGTTGAAAACTGCTTAACTTATGGCATCGGGGCAGCTTGATGGAAGGCACTGTTTCAACACCGGCTGATCAATGGCCCCGCCAGTCACTGGAACCGGATTTTCCATTCGCGCTCCTTCAATCCAGGAGCAAAACCTGGGTAACGTAGGACAATCAATTCCAGGTTTTCATCGTGTGAAACTGCTGAAAGCCGTGCATTAGTAACGTAGAACGCGACAAAAATCTGTGAGTCGTGTAATCTTAGCCGGCTTTTGGCGTATTTTTGCACCAGTGGCCTCCTGATTCGACCGTGCGATAAATTGTGTATCGTAGATCATGGGGGAGAGCGCCCGGCCCCCGCGTTGAGCATCAGGGCTGATGTCAGGAATGCGAGGGCCCTATTTTGCGTGCCCCCGTGCTGTCTTCCGTGCTGGTAGGTCGCTAACTCAACAGGGCCCCCCCTTCCCGCCGTTATCCTGCTGGCCCGCGTACTGGCCGCAAAGCGTACCGGCGCCCAGCCAGTTTAGCGCATTATACAAGGCGCCATTCACGGCAGCAACCAAAACCGGGGCCAAAAATGTGATGAGACGCCACAACTCGCTGCATTACACCGCGCCCCCCGCGCTGCCAGATTGACTGCCAAGGGAACTGGCGCCTGCCCAATGTAGCGCATTACATAACATTACAGGCGTCAATCACAATGCCAGCCAAAAGCAACGAATAACAGCTAATAGGACATCGCACTGCACTGTGCAATACACGCCCACGGTAAGGGGTATACCCGTAATGTGGGCCTCCCAGGTAGCCAAGTCCTGGGCACTGATGGCACAAGGCGGCACAAGGGCGGCACAAGGGCGCCTTGTGCCAATTACTGATGGGCACAACGCTCCCGTGCTCCATGAGTAATCAGGCCTGGCGGGCGCCAGCGGACGGTCGCCTGCGGTCCTCCCGGCGTGCGAAGCGCGGCACGCGGACGGCGGGGCGCGCGGAGAGAGGCGCTGAGGGCGGCCTTCGGGGTCTCCACTCGGCTGAGGATTCCCCCACGGGCGGCGGAGGGGCGCCTGGGCATCGCCGGAGCGCTTTCCGTCGCCTGCGGTCCTCTTGGGGGGCGGAAAGACGGCGGGGGGGCGCGCGGAGAGGCGCCCAGGACAGCCTTCGGAGCCCCGCTGAGGAGCACTTTGCGCAGGTAGGTGGATAGGGCGCGTCAATCTGGGACGCAGCGGCGCCCTGGCCCAGACGTGCAGGGGCGCGCCCCCAGAAGTGCGGGTGGGGAAAGGCTGGATTTTGTCGCGCCAGCAAGCCGCCCCGCGCAGCGGCCGCTCACCAGATCGCGGCCACCAAGAGAGCGAAAAATGCGGCAGGGTGCAAGGGGAAGGGCGCCGCGACGGCGTGGATCGCGCATTCCCAGCTCCCAGGCACTGAATGCTGATCTTGGAGCCCAGCCCCCCCCTGAGTGTCCAAAGTGTCCCCTTGGAGGCTGACCGCCCACCCGGGTGAGAACGCGTTTGGTGGGTGGATAGGGCGCGCCAATCTGGGGCGCAGCGGCGCCCTGGCCCAGACGTGCAGGGCCGCGCGCCCGGGAGTGGGGCAGGGGAAAGGCTGGATCTTGTCGCGCCAGCAGGCCGCCCCGCGCAGCGGCCGCTGGCCAGATTGCGGTTACCAAGAGAGCGAAAGTTGTGGCAGGGTGCAAGGGAAAAGGCGCCGCGGCGGCGTGGATCGCGCCCTCCCAGCTCCCAGGCGCTCAATCCTGATCTTGGAGCCCCCCCCCCCTCCCCCTGAGCGCCGAAAGTGCCCCCTCGGGGGCTGACCCACCAGTTGGGTGAGAACGCGTTTGGTGGGTGGATAGTGGCCCTGCACTGTCTTGGTGGGTGGCACAAAGCTCGCATATCTTGTGCCAGGACAGGCACCTGGAAATTGCAAGGAGATGTAGTGTTTTGGAATAATGAACTAAAAGCATTGGTGGGGCACTGGTTGGCAAGTTGCTGACAGGCCCACGCACAATGCCACATGCACTGATCTGCTGGTTGCCACTGCAGGCCCAACTGCTTGGAGGAAGGCACGGTGCAGGGCTTGGGAGGAGCGCGGCAGCCGTTGGCATGAGCGAAAGGGACGGGATGGTAATTCATACGGCCCCGCTCAAGCAGACGTGGAAATCCACGCCAAGGAAGGGCACCAAGCGTGTGCAGAAGGCCACCAAGAATGCCAGGCGCCTCATCAGCGACCCTTTCCAGAGGGAGAGATTTTCAACGTGGCGAGGGAGGCGGCCTTCTGGTGAAGCACATCTTGCTGGGACAATAGCATGAGCATCAAAGCAACTCGTGATGTGCTCTGAGAGCGTACGCTATCGGATGATGGACTGCCCTTTGTTGTTCTGCCTGTGGATCCTGGAAAGTTTTTGGCGTGTCCCACATGCTTTGGTGGCTCCTTGTGGAGCCGTCAGCCTCCAGCATTGGATTGTGAAACAACCCTGTCATCTTGGACCATCTGCAAGTTCCAGCAAGCACGATCTCAAAACCCCCTCTTGCCAGGTACAGCACTCGAATTGTGCTGCTGAGTAGCCCGGTGTCGGATGACTGCTGAAGATTGCCAGTGGCCATGAAAATGCAACCATTGGACCCACCACCCTGCAGCTTATGGAATTTGTTTGCATTGCTGCTTATTAATGGCATGTCTGCAGGTTGGTCTACGTGCAAGGTGATCGCGAACGGAGGAAAAGCCACTGGCAGACCTCACCCCCAGCCAGAGAGCCAATCAGGGTCAATGGGCAAACGAGCAATGTTGCCAGGCAGAATTGTAGGACGAAAACAGGTGCCAAGGGAAGACGGCTGTTACCACAAGACATTGTGCGTATGATAGCATAGGGTCACTGAGTGAGAGTGAAGCTCTGGCTGAGGAGAGAAGTAACACAGCTTCAGGTCAGCAGCTCTCGATACCTTCAGCACCATTGGCTCTGACGATCGTAAGCCAGCTGTCATCAACACTTTTGACGACATCGCAGCTATGCTGCAAGCAGGGCTGCTAATTGGAGCCTTTCTTGCTGAGCAAAACAGGGTTGAACTTGAGAAGGAGGGGATCACACACGCATGGCAGGCTTATTGTTGTCCTGTTGATGCTGATGTTGCTCTTGTGGAGGGTTGTGCAGTGATTTTATAGTTTTGCTCACTGTGCTTGGTTGCCACAAAGTGTGTGTTGAGATGCGCAGATGCCCATATTTCTGTCAGGCAGCCACCCACAAACGAAACTGGTTGTTACTGTTGAGGAGGGTGTGCAACTGGTTTGAGCTTGTGCGAGCCCTGGTTGCCCTCTGCCTCTGGTCCTGGTGAATAATAGATGGCAACAGCCCCAATAGCGATTGAGCACTGTCTGAAGAGAACACAGCCAAATGGGCCAGACTGCTCATTGTCTGGGGGAAGGTTGTGTGTTTGCATCTGCTGTCAAGAGATCGCAAGCCCACAAACTCCATCACGTTTTCTTGCGAGGACAGTAGGGGCCCTTGGGTTGGTTGCTGTTTGGTGTATGGCTAGTCCCTCTTGGGTTGATGTGCAGGTTGGTGTTGGTGATGACCTGGCCCAAAGTTATGATGGAGTGTTTCCTTGCCACAACATCAGTGTCTCGGATACTGCACCCGCTGATCTGTGGCATTTCAATGAATGTTTTGAGTTCATGGATGCCTCACAAAAGTGTGGGGGTGTGCACCACTATGCTGCTCAGTTTGTTGCGTGCTTGCGGTTGTCTGTGTTTTGCTCACAACCACCCCTATGCAGGATAACGTCAACCTGATGCATTGAAGAAAAGCATCTGTCAAAAGGTATTTTGTTTGCAGCTTTATTGGCAGCGGCACTAACTGTGTCAAGTTGTCTTTCCTGGTAAAATTAGATTGATCGAGGTGAAGACTGTCTTACTGTGATGTGTTGGTGTGGCTTGGACGACGTATTTGTTTGCCTTTCTGCTTGAAGTTCGGACATTGCACCTTGAGCACGCTGTCCATCAGCATCGTCTCGCTGTGCAGGAGCATCCTTCAGCTCTTGATCCAACATATGTACTTACCCTGTTCAGGTGGCGTTCTGGTCCGCTGTTTCGCTTTTATCTCTCGATCGGCAACTGCCATCGGTTGCTTTTATGGAAGCTCAACCTGAGCCAGCTTGGTGGAGAGTGCTGGAAGTTGCACACAGCCCAAGGAGGGTTTCCGCAAGCAGTTTCAGGTGTTTGAGGATTTGGGTGGGCACCTTGATTTGCTGGAGCAGTGGTGTTCATGCGAAAAAGGGCTTCAACTTCAGTGACATGTATGTGTGGTACATCTGCTCAGTTGCTTCAAGAACAAGATTGCTTTCTAACCGCTATTGTTACCTGAATGATGCTACTGTCAGTTGGTATGGAATCGCATCTGACCAGGATGGGTATGGTCTACATCTGGTGGTCATAAATGGGGCCGATTGAAACAACAGTGGTGGGGGGGATGGGGTGGGGGGCAATGTGCTGGTGGTCATGAATTCCCCAATGCGCATATGTAAATTGGGACTAGGACTTATCGCCTTGTTCAATAGGCTGCTTGCCATGGGGTTGTATTCCTGAAACCAGCTGTGCAAGCCTCTGGTGCCCACCTTTAGTGTCGACTGACACAGTACAAATCAGCTGTGTGTGCTGTGTCGGGAGGCTAGGAAATGTTGCAATATGAATGGTGTCCTGCCCTGCTTGAGAGGGGTGCTTCCATAACGAAGCAATGTAAATGGCACAAAGAAGGGTTGGTGGTGGTTGGAGTAGGACTGACAGGGTTGGCAACGCTTTGCAGTGAGCGAATGCAAATCAGAATTACGGTAGGCTGTGTGGGGTGGGCTGGGTGGCCAGCTATGCCATGTGGCATTGCCACCATCTGCACGTTCTGAATGAAATTAGCATCAGCATCTCCATTGTGGTAACACCATTGGAGTAATGCCACAGTCCAGTTTGGAGTGATTGGTGGTTAACGCAAGTCCCAATGCCCATGTCTGTGTTCCCTCAGGTGTGTATGTTTCATGCATTTCAAGGTGCAAGGGGCGGCAGTGGTGCGAACTCTAGTGGATGTGGGGAAATGAGCTAAATGAACAAGACAAAGTATTCAACTCATTCTGCTGTGAAGGTGTGGCCCATCTGGGCCCAATGCTGCGGTGATATTCAGTCTGGATTGTGTGTACGAACACTCATGTCTGTATGCCTCCTCAGGGGATGGGACAATTTTGAGAATCTCAGGTTCCAGCACATAATTGCTTTGTCTTGTGAATTTGACAGTAGACAGTTGGAATCTGGTATTGGTCGCCCTTGCAAAATGTCAATCAAGACTGTCCAGAGTGGAGCCAATGTGTCCGAGAGGCAAGACTGTATGCTCGGTCGACGTAAACAGGTGCAGTGAGTTGCGAGGGCCCGAACTCGGGCGTTAGACCCCATAAGCCAAAGATGTGTGCCCAATGTGGCACGGCAAGCTCTACAAGGGGCCGACCAAGGAGCATGGTCATGTCAGGCAAGCCCACCATAATTGTGCTCATCGCCTGGCGGCCAAGACGAGGGAATAACTCAAAGAGCACAGTCCAGAGGGATTATTAACAGACGTACATGATGTGCGATGAGCCCAACACGACTGAGAAAACCTGTTCGGCGCCCGAAAAAACACAGCACACCCTTGTGCACACCAGAGAAAGCAATTGCTGGAGGGCATCCTCGTCCATTGCCTGTAAGCCACTTTTTCTGTCATCATGAGCATATGATGCAGCACCTTCACATCACAGTGCACCATGTTGACTCCTGTGCGGCTCCACCACCCCAGTCGCCCTGCCTGTGGGCAGCCAACCCAGGTACAGAACCAGCTGGAGCGACGATGTCAGACAGCATGCGCAGTCTACCATTTGCAACTGCCCCATTATAGTTTTCCACGGAGTCCTGTGCATCGCGACTGTGCCCCCAGACTGGACAGCAGCATTCACACAAGAGCTTCGCCTTTAGCGGAGTTGCGGCCGTTGTAGGTACAGAGTCCACATATTCGCAACTGAATATGTGGACTATGAAGCCACCCTTCAGCGCGTCCGAAGAAAAGAAGGGAGCAAACACGAGGGGCTTCACTGCCATGAGCTCCACCGGAATGTTGATCGAGTTTCCACTTGTGTCATTGATGGGATCTCCGACCGTGTCACCGCTGACAGCGTGGGCCTCAGAACCCTTCCCTCCAATGTATTTTGGATGCTCGCACGCTCCCACGTGCATGTTCATTCACAACACCCTACCACGCAAGTCTGCCTCCAGCGCAGTCTTTCAGCGGGGTAAGAAACGCCAAAATTACTGGTCATCTGTTGGTTTCAAATGTGCGGAAATGTCTGAACGTGTGTGCATTGCAGCTTGCTGGTGCGCTGCATTCAACTGTGCTGAAGATAAATGCACCCAAGGATGCGTTGGCCTGCAGCGAAAGAAATTGCCTAATGGAGGAAAGATTTTGCTCGGGAAAGTCTACTCAATTTGGGGCAGCCTGGCTGCAGTCCATCAAAAGCCGAGATTGCCTTGGATGGTTCTCTTCTTGATGGCGTTGTCAAGTATTTTAAGGGATTTATCTGTTTTGGCAAGCTGCAGTTGGCCGCTGGATGGCGCACGTGTGGTTTGGTCGCTGCTTTTCAGTGCGATTGCGTGTTTAGCATCACCTCCAGATACTTCTTTGCGTTGTCCCACGCCCCGCCCGTGTTAGACATGGACAATGCCATCTGCACCCCCAACGCCAGTGCGCCCACCAGGACTCCCACGAGCAAGTGCATCCCAAACAGGACGCCAACCATGATCGGCGTGAGCAGGGCCAGAGCGCCGAGGGGGGCCATTGCCTTCAGGGAAGCGTGGGTGGATATATCGACACATCGGGAATAGCCGGGCTCTCCTGTGCCTCCGTGATGCCAATCGTTGGGAATTGCACGTGAACTTCATTGACCATTGTGAGGCCAGCTTTGCCGACTGACCTCACGGTGAGGCTGCTGAACCAACAGGACAACATAGCACCCACCAGGAGCCCACTGAACACCCCCGGCAAAGTCACAGCGCTTCAACGGCCATCGGCTCTCTCCCCAAGGGGCAAATCAACTTCGGCCAGCACCGCAGCTGACATGTTCTTCATTCCGCGTGCATATGGTGGGATTGCGGCTTCATGGAGCATCAGAGAGGAGGGCTTTGAAACAAACAGCGTACCATTCAAAGCAGAAAGTGTAGCCATCCACGCAAGGAACAAACAACAGGCGAGCTGAATCCAACACAGCGAGCAGCAAGGAAGCTCTCAGTAGAGACAGCCAAATCCCGAATACGGAGCTGAACGCAGTCCCTCTTGTGGCTGGGCATGCCCTGCGGCGTGGAGCATAGATAAAGGCGGCGGAATGGAACCCACGCCACATCTTCAGGGTTGTGGACCCTCGTGACATGACTATCGGATGCTGACAGAACAACGGATTTCCAGAGAGCTAACATTGAATTCCTCATACGGGCGTTCAGAATGGGCGCATCTGCCAAGTCAATCTCCGCCCTTGTGACCAACGATCCCAGCAACGTGAGGCACGAGCGCTGCCGATCCAATGGCGAAACCCTTCCCAATGGGGTTGTGTTGCTTACTGTGGCATCCAGAGCATCTGTGCGCTCACAAATCTCTGGGCTCATGCCCTACATGCTCGCAATGACCCCTTCTTTTGGGGAGATAGTCTCATATATGCATCGAAATGGGTCTTGAACCAAAAGTACCCAAAGTTGCTCAAGAATATCATGGCGCCATTGTCATCGGCAAGTATGAAAAAATTTACCACATTGTCAGAATAGATTAAAATTATTGCATTCAAACATTGCCTTCTTTGTGTCCTACTATG